CTATGTAAATAATGATTTGTTTCTGTATATGTCGAACTTGATGCTGCCCCCTGCTACACTCAAGAGGCCGGGCCAAAGCTTGATTTTAAACCAGGCAAAGTCTAGATTTGCACACAAAATCCAGCGGTCTATTTCTTAAGCCTAGTAAACGATTTCTTTGTTCAATCCAGTAGGCTGAACGAAAAAAACAAAACAAAAAAACTGAAGAGCTTGGAAGGAGATCATTTACTATCCAATGCTACTATAGCATTTTCCCTGCTGAGGTATTGTGTTCTGACAAGGGGATGGCTCCCCCACCAGAAAACACTGGTCAGCACTCTCAGCCCTTGGCTGAGAGCGCTGACTGGATGCCAATCAGTAGAATTTTTTCGATCATGTCCCTTCAACAGAAGTCGGATAAGGCTAATATTTGTCCTGTGTGTATGGGGCTTTAGGGTTAAAGTATTTTTGACATGTGATTTAAAATAACCTCTGCTTATGACTGTTTTCATTAAAAGTTCAGCTTAAATATACCAGATTTTAAGAATGTTTCACTCTACAAGAGTAAAAATATAACCTTTAGGATTAGGATTTTATTAAAAATGCATATCATGGAGTGTGTGTGTTTTTACTTCTAGGCAGGGGCTGAAAAATGATTCCAAAAACTCAATGGTGGTAAGTCAATTTGATGCAGCTGTTCAATAAGCAAACTCCAGCTCCACACTAGAGTAAACTGCAGTAGGAAATCTAAGCAAATCAAAAACACAGAAAATCAACATTTCTGTATGGCCCAGCATGGATAAAAAGAAATGTAGAGATATTGCCTTAGTGCTAAGCAGGGAAGAAGGGTGGGTTCCAATAGGGACCACCTGGTTTATATGAAAATCTGCAGACTGATGCTTTCCCCTCTTGTTAATGTAGATGGTATATTCAAGCAGTCAAGGTCAAAAGTAAAATGTAAAAACTCTTTCCTTGCTCACCACATCCCCTCTATCAATTTCTAACAAAACTGTCCTAAAAGATCAATTTTCAACCTAAGAGTTCTCAGCCTACCTTCTCAGAAGCCTACCTTCCCAGAAACCATGTATGCCCAAAATAAATTCACAAAGTATGCCCTAAAGAAAAACCCAACATGTTTCGGTCAGAAATCAAGAGTTTCGTCAGTGGTTCATGTAAATAAAAAAAATTAATAAAAAACCCCCCCCCCAAAAAAAACAAAAAAAAACACACAACCTAATGAAATAAAGTGCTAAATCCACATGGTAGAAAATGGTGACTGTATACAGTGGGGCAAAAAAAGTATTTAGTCAGCCACCAATTGTGCAAGTTCTCCCACTTAAAAAGATGAGAGAGGCCTGTAATTGGCATCATAGGTAGACCTCAACTATGAGAGACAAAATGAGAAAAAAAAAATGCATTTTGGAAGCCATTACTTTCATTCATATCACAGTCTATACATATTTAATAGAGTCAACAGACCCAATGCTCGGGGTCCAAATCAAATCGCACACAAAAAAGGAAGGTAGGTAAAACCCTCATTACGTCCATAAGGGGAACGTGAAGGTAGGCAAAATATTAATCTAGCCTCACGTTTCAGGAGGCATTTATCCAGATCACCCTTTCTTTGGCCCACGTGAGGTTGCTCAATAACCCAAAACTGTAAACAATCTGGTTTTCCACCATGCTTTTGCCAGATATGTCTTGCAATAGGTGAGTTCTTCTTTAGTATAACATGTACGTGCTCTTAAATGCGACGTCTAAAGTGACATCTTCTTTTAACTACATATAACAGTCGGCATGAGCATTTGGCAAAATAAATGACCCAGTCTGAGCTAAAATTAACAAATGATTTTAATTTTGATCACTTCCTCCATTTTTGGGGTTGGTAAATGCTTTAACTGTGTGTATGTAAGCACAAGCCTTACAATGCCCACATCCGAAATTCCACAAAGGTCTTTTTGGCAGTCAGGTCCTTCTCATGCAACACATTCTAGTACCCCTGATGTTAAATTATCTGCATCCCTGCTTGGGTATCATTATTATATACAGGTGTACCTCGGTTTACAAACACCTTGGTTAACAATTTGTGGTTTACGAATGAAAATCCATTGAAAATAATGCCTCAGTTTACAAATTTTTTTTCGCAATATGAAGTGTATGTCGGTGCCAATTTTTATATGCAATTAGCGGCTTTTTTTTTTTTTTCTTCACTATAGCTCACAGAATTAGCGGTCACTTTCCTCGAAGTTAAAAGGAAACGGTTTCTTTTAAGAAACTAAAAGGAAACATTGTTTCTTTTAACTCGAGAAATGAACTAAAAAATAAAACTCTCTTTTAGCTGGGGGGAGAGCTCTAGTGAAGGCAAAAAAAAAAAAAAAAAAAGCCAGTAATTACATTTAAAAACCGGCATAATAAATAAACAACGTGGGGTTCCCCCTTCCATCCATCCCAAGCCCTTCGGGTCTGGTATGGATTTTGAGGGGAACTCCCACGCCAGAATTATACATACCATACCAGACCCTTATCCGAGCATTCAGCCCGGAAGGTCAGGAAAGGGTGGGGGGTGAAAAGCAAGCGCCAGCCCCCCCCTTCTGAACCGTACCAGGCCACATGCCCTCAACATGGGTGGGTGCTTTGGGGCGGTGGGTCAGGGGCTCCAAAGCACCTTGTCCCCATGTTGATGGGGACAAGGGCCTCTTCCCCACAACCCCGGCTAGTGGTTGTGGGGGCCTGAAGGCACGGGGCTTATCGGAATCTGAAACCCCGTTTAACAAGGGGGCCCTCAGATCCTAACCAACCCCCCCCCCCATGAATGAGTATGGGGTACATGGTCCCGCTACACATCCCCAAAAAAATAAAAAATAAAAGTGTAGTGTGAAAAAAGACAGTATATGGTCTTTGACAAGTCCTTTATTAACCACTTCAAGTTCGAACACTTTCACCCCCTTCCTGTCCAGGCCAGTTGTCAGCGCTATCACACTCTGAATGACAATTGCGTGGTAATGCAACACTGTACCCATATGAATTTTTTAGCATTTTTTGTTTTGAGACAGATAAAGCTTTATTTTGGTGGTATTTTATTCACCACTGGGATTTTTTTTTTTGCTATATAAAATGAAAAAGTCCAAACATTTTGAAAAAAAAAAAAAAAGTGTTTTTCTTATAAAATTTTGCAAATAAATATTTCAATCATAAATCTTGGCCAAAATTCAGTTATCTTTTTAGTAAAAAAAATAACCCAAATTAGTTTATAACCAAAAATTATCATTTTTAATTTTTTTTTTACATTTATGTTTTTTGTTTTTTTTACATACTGTCACCCTAGCAGTACAGTGTCACCATGGTGACACTAATACTTGGGGGTGATGAAGATTTTTTTTTTTTTTTTAACACCGATTGATTTTACACCCATAAAGGCTGTAAAAGCAATAATTTCTCCTTCTCTCTGGCTGCATTCTTGCAGCCATTGAGAAATACTGTGTGAGCTGTGATTGGTCACAGCTTGTCACATGGTACAAGGCTGTTGTGAATAGCCTTGTACCATGTGACCCCTGTGATCATTCACAGATTTCACACGTAGTAGGCAATGATGTCAGAAGTGACATCTTGCTAACTACTCTGCATGTGATCACTGATTGGCCAATCAGTGATCACATGATCAGGACCTCACACAGAGGTCCCGCACGGAGGACACAGCGGGCACCAGATCACGGTGCTGCGCGCTCCGGGGAGCAGGCACAGTCCAAAATGGCGGGCACCGTTTATGAACGGCAACCCGCCCCTGGACTGCCACCATCCGACATTTATATACAGCGGCCGGATGGCAAGTGGTTAAAAAGCAAAAACTAAAAGAATGTCCCTCGTAGTAGATCCAACGTCGATCACGATGTCCGCCGCCGACCCGAAAAAAAAGAGAAAAAAAAAAGGCTCTGCTTCCAACGTTTGCCTGCTCCAGTGGTTTGACAGTTCTTAAACAGGTAAGGGGCGGGACCACCCAGGGACGTTACGCATGTGACCCCACCCCATGTGAACTGTCAAACCACCGGAGCAGGCAGACGGCGGGAAACATCGGAAGCAGAGCCTTTTTTTTTTTTAAATTCTTTTTTCAGGTCAGCAGCGGACCTCGTGATTGACATTGGATCTACTGTGGGAGGGATTCTTTAATTTTTTTCTTTTACTAAAAGGACTTGTCATAGACCATATCCTGTGTCTTATTACATTACACTTTTTTTTTTTTTTTTTTTAATGAGTAGCAGGACCATGTACCCCCCATACTCATTCACATAAGGGGGGGGGCGGGATCTGGGTACCAGATTCCGCTAAGCCCCTTGCCCGCCGATCCCCACAACCACCGGCCAGGGTTGTGGGGAAGAGGCCCTTGTCCCCATCAAGACAAGGTGCTTTGGGGGGGGGGGTGAAGCCCCACCACCCCAAAGCTCCCCCCATGTTGACGGCATGTGGCCTGGTATTCTTCGGGGGGGGGGTGCATTAGGGTCTGGATTTTGTGGGGGACCCCTGCGCCATTTTTTTGAAAATGTTGGCATGAGAGTTCCCCCAAAACCCATACCAGACCCGAAAGGCTTGGTATGGATGGGAGGGGGGACCCCACGCCATTTTATTTATTTTTAATTGACGGAAATTCTTTTACATTCAGCTGTCAGAGGGGAACTGAGAGCTGAGACATGAACACATGGTTGTCACTACTAAAATACCGCATAACTTGATATAATACCTCTTGTGGTATTTTAGTAGCGTTTACTTTTTTCTGACCTCCAGAACGGATTAATTGGTTTTCAATGCCTTCTATGGAAAACGGCATTTCGGTTTATTAATTTTTCGCTATACAAAAAGTCCCGCAGAACAAATTAAATTCGTAAACCGAGGCATGCCTGTATAGTGAAGGCTTTTGTGAGTTATCTTTAAACATTTTCTGCCTTATATAAAGAACTAGGGGACAGCAACGCAAACCTGGCTTCAATCTAACATTCATATGCCATAAAAATACCCAAAACACAGCTTACCAATTTCTCGGTTAAGAATTTTCTCTTCCCTATTTCCTACAGGCTCAATTACTTTAAGAAAAGGCTGGAACAGCCGAAGGTCACATAGGCGGCGTGTTTCATCAAAGAATTCCTCTCTTTCTGCCTCTTGTGTAACGCTGACAAAAATATAAGAAGACTCATCCTGAAGTAGATGGTGAAGAGGGTATTTCCGGGCTTCTTTAAATAATTCATGTTTAATGTTCACAAGAGTAGCTTCTCGAATGCATTCTAAAGTCACCATCATCCCATTTGGTAATAAACAGTCCACCAGTATCCTGGGGGGCATCAAGTGGATCCCCCATAATTCTCCAGAAGAAGGCCTTGGTGGCATGATTCCTACACTTGGTAATCTTCACTCTAGAGGGTGGTTAGTGCAGCATTTGTCCTACTTGAGGCACCTAAAAAGACAAGAAATGTGAATTGAATACTATAGAACTACAAAGCCTAAAGCAATGCTACCTTTTCTGTGCACCATGACCATGCTTGAAGCGGACTTAAGTTTTAAATTTATGGACAGGGCCTTTTCAGGTGTTGAAATTGAAGGTTCAGACAGTTGTATGCAAAAGTGTGGATACCCTGGTCAAATATGTCTGGTCTTCTATAGAAATGGTAATAGGACCATATTGTCATACCATTCATTTAAACAAAGATCTTCCTATAAGGTTATGCGTTTCATTTAACATATATCATGCATTTTACATACCTGTACAATCCTCCATTGTGTATTGAGACCGTTGTATTGGTTGGACACTTGGCTTTTATGCATATTTATTTATGTGGTTATTTTCACTAATCACTTTACTTGGGTTAGCATTGAAATATATCCCAGAGTGGGGATACTTCACTATTTTTGTCGCTTATTAGTTGGGAGTTGGTCCCAATAGGGACTGGTTACTAGCACCTTATAGGGTCCTTGATTCAAGACCCATTTATTTATTGCACTTTAGGAAATTATAATTGCCACTTTTTATAGATCCAGCAGGATCTTACACAGTATTTATATCATTGTGTGACATAAATGTTATTTGATTGTATTTTATCTATAGTAATTTGTATGTATATTTTAGCGCTACACCATTAGTGATCTTGCATGGCAAGAACACTTTACTGTTATTTCACATATATAGTCTTATTATTATAGCCAAATTTACCACCCTAACTCCTCCCACAGTTTTTACACTATAATAGACAGTAATATACTGAAACGTGCGGATTGAAACGTGCGGATTGTTCCCGATTGGTGTGCTATTACTTTGTGGAACGTTTCGCCGAATGGTTCACAAAATATCGCCGTTTTTGTGGTGAAATTGGTCCCATAGGAATGAATGGCGGAATGATCAAAACTAGAGTGGGAGCTGACAAAAGCTAGAGTGTGAGTTGAAAAATCAGGACATGATTTCTAAACTGCCACCACTCCCTCATTTTCCAGCCATCCTACAAAAATCTTATATCAAAACGTTCAGCTATCCCTGCTGCCACTAAAAATGTCCACGGCCAAGCCATAGTCCTGATAGTTTTCACAATATGACCATTTGTTTGCAACTCACATCGCCCATTGACATTCATTGAAACTCCACTCTAGCCACCTCAAATTTGAAGGGCAATTTCTAAACTGCGACTGTGCCTTCATTTTTAATAATTCAGAGACATACTATGCATCAAAATGTAGGTCTGGGTCTTGTGATTCTCACAATATAAAGCTGTTCGGTGTAGGATTTATCATTTTTAAACTACAACCGTTTGAAGATGGCAACCGCCAGTGAAGTGAGCAAGTTGGAGCAGTTTGTTTTTAACTGCTTTTCTCTGCCCTTGCTGGAGAGTGAGTTGCCATGGGAACCCAGGTGTGTGAGCAGGCAGCAGAGTGACAAGCCACTCCACCTAGTTACTCCACCCACTCCAGTTGTAGACTACTGGTGGAGGCAAGAACACTTCACACAATTTCCCCAGAAATTGTAGCTTTTCTAGTTGTATATATTGTATTCACTTTGTCTGCACATAGGTAGAGGAGTAGGTGTGAGCACCTATTCATCATTTAGGCTCCATACCAGCACAGGGGGATCTTTACAGTATTTTTCTCCATTGTGTAGACATCCAAAAGCTCTAAATATTGTGAGTGCCATATGATTTTGGGGCCATCTTGCAAATCTGGGGCAGCACAGTGGCTAAATGGTTAGCACTACCGCCTGGCAGTACTAGGGTCGTTGGTTCGAATCCCAGCCACAGCACCTCCTGCCTTGAGTTTGCATGTTCTCCCTGTGCCTGCGTGGGTTTCCTCCGGATACTCCGCTTTCCTCCCACACTCCAAAGACATGCTGGTAGGTTAATTGGCTCCTGTTTAAATTGGCCCTAGTATGTGTATGTATGAATGTGAGTTAGGGACCTTAGATTGTACGCCCCTTGAGGGTTAGGGACTGATGTGAATGTACAATATATATGTGTAAAGCGCTGCGTAAATGGACGGCGCTATATACCGTATTTTTCGCTCCATAAGACGCACTTTTTTCCCCCAAAAAAAGGGGGGAAAATGTCAGTGCGTCTTATGGAGCGAATACGGAGCGGCCGGTCTGGTATTTTCACCGCCGCCGTGTCAGAATACCGGGCTGGCCGCTCAGCTCTGCAGTGGGACCTTACCTGTTCCTCTATCCAGCGGCGTGCTGTCTTCCCAGCTTCTGTAGTGTGCGTGACAGCCGGGTCCCAAGTGCGCAGGTGCAAGAAGTGGTGCTCTTTGTGAATGGTAAGGCGGTACCTGGGACTTGACAGATCCCAGAAGCCGCCGGACCAATCACAAAGCGCAGCGCTTCTCGCGCATGCGCACTGGGCATCCGGCTGTCCGCCGAGCGCCCACACTACAGAAGCCGGGTAGACAGCACGCGGCTGGATAGAGGAACAGGTAAGATCAAAGAACAACTCCGCGGAAGTAAGAGCGGGTACCTGTCAAATTCAGGTACCCGCTCCCCCTCCCTCCCCAAAGGTCAGCAGTCATCTCCTGCACTGTGTCTGCAGTCTCTGGTCATCTCCTGCACTGTGTCTGCAGTCTCTGGTCATCTCCTGTACTGTGTCTGCAGTCTCTGGTCATCCCTGTACTGTCCGCAGTCTCTGGTCATCCCTGTACTGTCCGCAGTCTCTGGTCATCCCTGTACTGTCCGCAGTCTCTGGTCATCTCCTCTACTATGTCTGCAGTCCATTAGTTCAGAATTTTTTTTTTCCTGTTTTCTGCCTCTAAAACCTAGGTGCGTCTTATGGAGCGAAAAATACGGTAAGTACCTGAAATGAAAAAACTCTGCATCAATGAATCCAACTCGAAAGCTCTCAATATCTCCTTGCCTCCAGACCAACTTGACAGAGTTCAGCAAAACACTGCTGCTTTCTCGTGCCCCCCCCCCCTTTGCCATGCCTTTGTGTCCCATTAACCCAGACATTTGAGTCACTATTTTGGGCAAACTACCCCCCACTGCTTAAAGAACTGTTGAACCTCTTGGCCTCCTGGATGTCCCTTCAGATAACCTGGTTCAGCAGAATTCATGCCCTCCGTATGACATACTTGCCAAACCTCCATTACTTTGGAGTCCTCCAAATCCCAGTCCCCAACCAATTTTTGCACTGAGCAATGTAAATTGCCCAATTTCATCTGGCGCCAGCACAGACCCAAACTCTCTGCCTCCGTTTTGTGTCAGACTGTATTGGACTTGAAAATCATCGGACTACAAAAACCAGTGCCACAAAGATCCATACCTGAAAGATCTGGTCTCTGACCTCTATTCTTCCCTCCTCGATTCAAAGGGCTCTTGCAAACCACACGAAAAATGGGAAAAAGATCTTGCCACCCCCCTGGACCAAGATGCCTGGAATAAGATTTGGCTTTTTACCTCTAAATGTTCATGCAACATTTTAGCAAAAGAAAAAGCCTTCAAGGTCCTCTCACATTGGTATTTGACCCCAGAATGCATTGTGAAATTTGCCTCCACTATTGAACCAGATTGTGGACAAGGCTATACACAATGATTAAGACGGTTCTGAACGTGCCACTAGCCTGTAACCCCTGTGAACCCTTTTTACACAAACTGATCTCAACCCTAAAGTGGTAGTAAACTCTCCTTGATGAATTTCTCCCATGGAAATCATGAAGCAACACTTTACTAATCGCTTTGTGTATATTCTTCTCTACCTGCTCCTTTTTCTTATAATCCGTCCTGTTTCTTTTTCTGATGTGACCGGTACATGCGCATACTTCCCCCTGTTTACGGCACGCTCTTTGTGCCATCAATCCTTTATTTACATGCCATGTCTTTGACGGCACTGCACCGAGATACTGTAAGGTTTTAGTCCCGTTCTCAAGTTCTTACAAAACCCCATGTGGTTCAAAACATCATAAGGGCTGTAAACATCAGGCAGACAGAACGATGCACAGAAGCAGAGAACTGTGCTATCAGATGTACAGTTACTGCACATGTGCAAGATTACAGCTGGAACAAGAAAAGGCGCAAGTACAGCGCTCTGCAGACTTGGAAACATCAGCTAACATGGCGCCAGCTTCTCCTGAAAAACAAGATTTTAAAAACCACTTCAAAATAAGTTAGAGGCATAACCATATTAATGCAGAATGTTTTGTAAAGTTTTATTGTGCTTCCTTTTTTAAGAAGGGGCAATTGAAGTGAAGAGTTTACTACCATTTTAACTTCAAATAGTTTTTATTGAAAGGTTTTTTACACAAATGCAGTAATACAAAACGTAATACACTGTGGTTCACATTAGAATGAGGTGGTACATAAGGTATGTATAACCTGAGGATGTATTTTCCCACCAATTGGCTGGGAAAGATGTGGCCCTGTTTTCATATTATTGGTAGATAAGAATAAACTAATGTGAATCTAGTAGTTTCGGAATACATTGTGAATGGGGTTGGACGGGGATGAAGGAAGGGAGGGAGGGGAAAGGGGGGAGTACCAGTCAAGCGTTATGTACTTAGTAGTAAGGATATTATATGGATATCAGTTAATAGAGCAGTTAGGGTCATTGAGCCAACGAGACCATTGGAATTGGAATTTATGGTATGTGAGGTTTCGTGATGCTGTTCTCTTTTCCATTTCGCATTGGTAATTTAGGTCATTGATAAGGGTTGAGTAAGCAGGAATTTTGGTGAACTTCCACAATCTGGTGACATTATTTTTTGCCGCTGCCAATATGTGGATTATGATAGTTCGTGTGTTTGGGGGAAATTTG